TGTAGGGAGACTTTCTCTAAAAACATGTCCAGAAAGAATTCAGAAATTTAACTGCAGTGGACACTAGCAAGTGGAATTCTGGGAGGCTCACAGCACCCTGTTCTTGATCTATCACATAGAGATGTCCTTCTTCGAAAATGATGGTTCTAGACACTGTCATTTCATACTAAGTTAAAAGACTCACCATGGAAGAACTGGTTCTTTTCTAAAGGAAATGGGGACATTTAACAGAGATTTATCCCTGTCAGCTTCAACCTGGAGCATTCTTTTCAGATGGACCAAACTCGCTCACTCCTGGAGCCACTTCCCAGCTAGGTTAAAGCCTTAGCTGCAGGGTCACTTGGAAGGTGTCTCAAAACACAGGCTGCCAGCCTCTCCTGCAGAGTTGCAGGGACTTTACTAGCGAAATCCAGAGCAGATCTCAGAATGTGAGTCTCCCATGGCCTACTGACTCTGAGAATTGGGGGTAGTTTCCACTGAGCCTCTACCAGAAAGGAGAGGAAACCAGTTCAAAGACCATCAGTGCTGAAATGACACAGTTGGTAGACCTGTTCCTCCAAGTCTGGAGTGCTGTATCTTCTTGATTCCTGTCCTTCCTTGTCCTGTCTACCCAAAGGCTCACTTCTGGACATTCTGCCTCGCAGCAGTCTGACAGAGTAACAGGACAGACATCAGACATGTCTGCCTTACCTCTAGACATACACGTGTCTACTGTTGTGTGTCACATAATAGGTATTATGACATCCAGTTATTTCCCCCCGGCCGGCTTTCCTCTTTTTTTTTTTTTTGTTTTTGTTTTTTTTTGGGTTGCTTTCTTTGTGGTGATTAGTTTACTAGTTTCAACTGTCAGGCACTCACCATCATAATTAACAAACTGGAAAGGGAATCTGAACCACAGTGAGGAAGAAAGCTCAGATTCTCCCAATACAGAGGGCATGGAAGGCTTAGCTTGGTTCTAACTCATGTGTGTTTCTCCCCAGAGAACTAAGTGTCCACTTGGAGAGCACCCTCCATGTGCAGGTTTCTCCACATAGGAGTGTCTCATGTGACAGGTGCCTGGGCCCTGGGCCAATCATTCAGCCTTACAGAATGGACATGAGCTACTTTAACAAGAGATAGCCCAAATCATTGATCAGTTTCTTCTTAACTCACTGGAAACCTACATAAGAAAATTAGTAAGAAAAGAGAGAAAGAAAATCCTTTTCCTTAGCCATTCTTCAGTTCAAAACAGAAACAAAGAAAAGTATCACCCACACACTGTTGTTACTATAATACTGTGGTCTTCCCCCCTCATCCGAGGGTCCAACCTCCACTCTGTCAGTGACTTCTGTCAATCGTGTTCCCAAAATAGTAAACAATAATTCCACAACAAACTATTTATAGATTTGAACAACTTGTATTATAATACACTGTTGTAGCCAGATTGGGGGTGGGGGGCAGCGAACACCTTTAATGCCAGCACTCTAGAGGCAGAGGGAGAGGCAGACAGATCTCTGTGAATTGCAGGCCACCCTGGGCTACATACACAGTGAGCTCCAGGCCAGCCAGGGCTATACAGTGAGACCCGGTCTCAAACAACAACAAACAAAAGAAATTTCTGTATTTGCTAATCCCTTGCTGCGCTGAATCATACATTAAACATTACCATTGCTAGAATGTATGGGGGGGGGCCCTTCACAGGGCTCAGTGCTCTCTGCTGCAGGCATCCACTAGAGGTCCCTGACTGAATGCCTCCCAATAGGGATGGCTATAGTTATTCACACAGGTTCTTTCTGACCAAAGGATTTTGCAGGAAATGACAGTGGCTGTAAATGGGATTGTCCGAGTTGGGACAACGCGAGGACACCGCCCACAAGACGCCGACGACACGACTCTGTGGTACGCGCCACCCGAGCTATGCTCAGAGGCTCTGGGACGTGAATACTTACTCTCATCTATAAGGGACTCTGACGGCCCTGCTAAGGCCCTTACTTGAGTATCTTTTAGGATATGAGTCTTCAAACTGTTAAAATGATATCGTGAAGACAGAGAACTTAAAACCTCTTCCTAGTATCCTTTTTGCCAGAGCCTTAATCTAGTGGTGAAGATGAAGCCTGATGTTTCCCTTTCTGTTCTGTTTGTGACAGGACCTCACCACATAGTTCAGGCTGGACTCAAAACTCACAATCCTACCTCAGTCTTCCTCCTACTGGAATTGTAGGCATGTTTCTCTCTACAAGGTTTTATATCCACTTCACTCCTAAGGAAGGGAAAGCCCTTCTTACCTCATGGCTTTGGAATGAAAAGATATTTGTTTTTAACCCACTCACCTTACTTAGGACTTTCAAAAAAAGCAATGCTCACCTGACTACAGCATGCTAGAGCAACGCACTGCTTGGTTCCCTGAATGGATTTCATAGCTTGTTTTTCCTACACTGGATAGGCAGAGGCTATACTTAGATAACCATTAAAAAATTATAGTCACCTTAAGGGCATATGACTTACTATAATATTACACTAGGAAATTCTCTATCCTTAAACATGTCTTACTGCTACTTTGTTGGTAATTATTTCAAGGCTGACCTTACCTGCTCATAAAATTAAGGAAAATGGTACTAGCTGGACAGTGGTGGTGCACGACTTTAATCCCAGCCTTCGGGAGGCAGAGGCAGAGGCAAATGGATCTCTGAGTTCAAGGACAGCCTGTTCTACAGAGCCATGTTCAGAGACACTCATGGCTATACAGAGAAACCCTGTCTTAGAAAACAAAACCAAACAACAGCAAAAAGTATTAATGCACTCAAAGACTATAGTCTAAAATACCACCAAAGAGAGCATAACAATTCATAACAATTCAGGGAGTTTTGCTGCACGTATCCTTGACCCAAGCCTCTCTCTATAGAATGTCTTTTCAGGGGAAAAAGGAAGTAGTTCTCAGTCTTCATGGAAGTTTCTTTCCACATTATGAAGGAAGACGGCTGCTCTTCAGAAATGGGACCATGCTATCATCCCGCTATCATTGAACTCCACTGCACATATACTCAGTAAAAGCCAACTCACATACTTAAAAGGAGACCTCGTGCCGGGCGGTGGTGGCGCACGCCTTTAATCCCAGCACTTGGGAGGCAGAGGCAGGCGGATTTCTGAGTTCGAGAGTTCGAGGCTAGCCTGGTCTACAGAGTGAGTTCCAGGACAGCCAGGGCTACACAGAGAAACCCTGTCTCAAAAAAAACCAAAAACCAAAAAAAAAAAAAAAAAAAAAAAAAAAGGAGACCTCGTACCACAAATGTCATTAAATGTCCACAGCAGCACTTCTTTTCTGCGAGGTGGGGTCTCATTATTACCTAGAAAATAATTTCCTATTTTAGCTCTCAAATCCTCTCACCCCAAAGGATAAAAATGAAATGCTTTCCTTAAAGAAACTTCTGTCCAGAAATCTCATTCACTGCTTTCGTAACCTCGTTCAATGTGGTAGCAGCCTTCTCTGCTCTATACCAGCTTATACCAGCTACACAGTCAATTCTGAAATGGCAACATCACTGGGCAGAATCTACCATCAGAGAGGGCACAGAAGTTAATGAGACAGAGAGTTTAAGCCATTGTATGGGGAGAGCTACCTCTGGGAGAACAAAGACTAAGCAACCTCAACAGAGGGATGACTACATTGCTGAGACATTCTGGCACAGGGGGTAGACGTGATAGACTAAATTATATTGGCTCAGATACGACTGTTTCACCTTCCCAGCTCTGGGATCTTGCTAGGCCTCTATCAGGGTAAGATGCGCCACTGCGCCATCATTGCGAAGTCTGGGGGTGGAGCTACAGTTAAGACCACAGTCTTGTTCTTCTGTCATGCACTATCACTAGCAAATTATGTCCCCTCAAATCCCAGTGTGCTTTGAGCTAACATCAAAGACAGGAATTCTTAACCTCACCAAATGGCAGATGCAGGAATTTCAACTGTTATGATATGCTGACTCCAAATAAATCACTATTAATTTCTTACCTTCCAACCTACTAGTCAACCAGAAACACCATCAGTATTGTTGCTGAAATTTCAGATCACAGAGGCGTCCCGCTAAGACAGTTCTTGCTTTCATCCCCCAAGCACAGCAAGTTCCCAACAAAAAACAGCTTTGGCTTCATATTAGCATTTCAAACACAGTTCCTAAAAATTACCTTCAGGAGTCAGTGAACTGAGTACAGCTACTTGGCAAGTACGATTACCAATATAGCTTTCTCTCACGTTCTGAAAGTCATGCCTTGCCACCAAAAAGACACTAAATTTTCTACCTACTGCAGAGGACCAGATAGAAACTTATACCAAAAAATCCAAAATACACTAGCTTTAATTTACAGCATTTTTTTCTTACATCCAATAATTTGAGATTACATCTAGATATTAGTGGAACCGTCTGTTCATCCTAGGAACAGGTTAGTTATTGGAACATTCCATTAGGGAGTTCTCTATTCTTACACTCCATCATTGCTACTTTGTTGGTAATTACTTTGAGTGCCACCTCACCTGCTTCTCACCAGGCTAATAAAAATATTTTAATGGTCCTTAAAGACCATAATATAAATGCACAGAAGACGTGGGATCCTCTCTTAAGAGAAGCTATTTTGACCAATTAGAAGAAATCCTGTAAATATTATTAGAATCCCATTTAAAGTCACGGTCTCGATCATCTCTGACGTTGGCAATGTTTTCTAACCATTTCTAATAATATTCAGAAAGAGAAGGCTGTATCTAAATAGGCACAGCACAAAAAGAAGCTAACATACACACCTAACACAGAAACTGAAGCCAATGTCTAGCTAGGTACAGCACAGATAGATAGAAATGAACAAATTCATGTATATAACACAGGAACTGAAGCCAAGCGACCTGATCATTCCTTAAATTCACCTTTTTCACGCTATCGTCATCACCGGGTTAATTATAAGCCATGCAAGAAACGGTCCAGTTGGTCTGCACGTGAAATGACCAGAATGGAAATATTTTGTAATACATCGGATACCTGAGAGTTTCATGAGAAGTTCTGAGGCAGCCTTAGCCGACATGTCCCGCCTTAAAACATTCCCCTTGCCTTCCTGGGGTGTAAGTGGGTCCTCGGAGATGCTAGGGGTCGCCACTTCCGGTTCCGGGCTGAACACGTAGCTGGAGCGAGGTAAAGGCATGCTTAGGGACTCCTCTTCCTTGGGCTCCTCCTTCACTTTAAAATTAAGATTCATAGGTTCCTTCTGGTTTGCGGCTAAAAAAAAAAAGAATAAGAAAGAAGAGAAAGAAAGGGGTATATATATTTTCATTTCCCCTCTACCTTGTCCCCACACTTCACCTTGTGTTTAAGAGCCAGAGGGGTGACAAACAAAAGCTAGGCCCCGAGCACATAAGATACCCGATGAGCCTTGACCTCTGTTGAGTAGTAGTTTCAGCATATGTAAAGCCTGGTGTGTTTTAAGAAGTGCTGTCGTTTCAAAGCACGTGGGCATTTTCTCCATGGTTTCTCTAAATCATCTTCCCTGGGCATGCTGTTGCCTCCCTGGCCTCTTAACACTTTCTCCAGCTAATTCTATCATTAAACAACGTCTCATGAAATTATTCTGCTGTCAAATATTGAAATAAAATCGAGAATAAGCTGCAGTATCTAAACCTAAACCCCTGGGGTGGGTGGGAAGGCGATAATGGAGAATCTGACAAAACCAAAAGCAGGACTAGAGTCGCACTCTTCTTTCCTCATTATCAATGGACACTGTTGACCCATGCACAGCGGCCATATGCTTTGTACTGTCACCATGAGTAACCCTATGCCTGCAGCCTAGGTCATCTTCACATACCAAATGGGTTTTCGTTATTGTTTTATTTAAGAAAAAGATATTTTTGAACATTTTTTAATTTATGCAAAAGTTGCAAGGGTAGTTCTAAGAGCTCCCATGTAGACTTCCCTAGAATTCCCTAAGGGTAACATCTGATCTATATCTAATCACCATATGTTTTCTAGAACTAAGAAATCCATGTGGCTATGACCCAAACTCCAAATATGTCCATTAATGTCCTTTATGAGAGTTTTTTGAAGCCATGGGCAGCTGCTGTGGAGGGTATGGTAAAAACAGCTAAGCAGCCTGTCATGGGATGGCTTCTACGAGCTGGCTACTCTGTGCCAGGCCTTTCCCCTGGGCATACCTCACAGGAAAGGCCACAGGTAAGAAACAGCTTCCCTTTCACACCCCCTCCCACCCTGCTTAAGACACATGTAGCACCAACATTGGCTGTGCCACACAGGATGTGTTTGGTTTAGTTTGTTTTTTATTTCCAACCTGTATTCTTAGCAGTTCTTCTTAGAAAGGGCCTAGCCCTAGCTATCTTAACAAACTAGAACAAGAAAGCTAAGCCCCCAAAGCAAACACCCACAATGCCTTTTCCCACCTCTAAGAATGCTCACTGTAGGACATCTGTTGGAAGGGCATAGCATATTTGCCAACTGGGCCCAAGAGGGCTAGAGGAGCATCTCCAGGTCTCACAGTTAAAACTATGTAGAGCTGGGACTAGAACCGAGGTCCCTGTGTCCCTGACTTCTTTCAGCACACTGCTTTTCTAGCGGGAGCCTTGTGTTGTAACAAAACCAAGCTTTAAAACCCTGGTTTAGATACCATTTGCTCAGTGTGGTCTACACTGACCGTCCTGTTTAAGATGGCAACCCTCACCTGGCCATACTTCCCATCTTCCTTGCTCTCTTGTAATCTTTTTATTCCCCCAAATATGAACACTTACCACTTAATAACACACTGCTAGGGACAGAATTGCTCCCCTCCCCAATCCCTTTGAATGATGAAGATTTAACTTTCCAATGTGAGTTTATTTGCATTAGGGCTTTAAGGGGACACAAGTTAGCTCAGTGAAGCATGAAGGTAGGGTCATAATCCAATGCCAGTGATTCTAAGAACTATTTGACTCCTTCTCTACTTATAAAGAGAAACACCAGAGATGTCTCTACACAGGGGAAAGGTCAAGTGAGGACATAGAAAAGAAGCCATCTACAAACTGAGCAGAGTGGCCTCAGGAGAAATCAAACCTACTGACAACTTGACGTTGGGAGCTTCCAGCCACCAAAACTATAAGAAACAAACACGTGTGTTGTAAGACACCCAGACTACAGTGCTTTGTTCTGTAAGTTAACAGAGGAATCAAGTATTATATAATGTATTTTGACTTATAATGAAAGCTGTGAATAATCTGCTCTCCTGACTCCCGGGTCAGTTTCACGAAGACACTAAGTTCTGCTTTTAAAATTCATGTATGTCAAGAACACAGAACAGTTCCTGGCACATTACAGGTCCGGTTGTGCTACAGCCCCATCCATCCTTACTGAAGGGTAAAATGTGTCTGCTCTAAAGCAGCAATATTGATGGCATGCTAATAGCTCCATGGTCAGCAAACATGAAGAATCCTGGCAATCCTATCAGAAGCGACCAGGCCTGCTTTCCCTGGATGTATCATCGGGGTAAGGCTAGGATGACTGAGCTTTGTTTGCTACCTGCCCAGACCATGGGCTTACTGGGATGCCTCAGAGACCCTGGTGGCTCCTAGCATCATTAATGAGCAACCTAACCCTTTGTGGACATTGCTATCAAAATGTAAAACAAAGGGAACAGTGACAGCCTCTAGAGCATCTCCCAGGTGGGTATTCCCTACCTCATCCCAGGTCCTTCTTACTGACTCTTTACTCAGCTAGTGTTTCTCCTTACAGCTTCCAGTGCCCTCTTGGGAGGCTGATGGTGGCATCATAGTGCCCGCTCTTTCCCCTCACCTTCCTTCCAGAACTTTCATAAATCCCTTCCCCAGTGGATCCTACTCAGTCACAACACCATAACCAGCATGCTTTTTATGTGTGTATCTATCTCCCTATTGTTTCAGAAGGGACAATACAAAGTGGATGGTTACACACTTGGGAATTGCTTCCATGCTGTGCCTTTTATTTACAAACATGTTTAACTTTCTAAGATGAGACAAGGAAAGGTAAAATATTGAGGAAAATTCCAACTTCAGAGAGGGCAACCATACTGAGCAGACGCTGGTGGAACACATGAGTGCCTTCCAGAAAGGTTAGTCAAAACACTTCCAAAAAAAGAAGAAATCTAGCATTGTCAGTGAAACTTGGATTTCACAGGCTTTCAACAAGACCACTGGAAAGCAACCAGCTCTACACTGCTGTCACATAAGCTTGGATGGCCCTACCAACCTGGGATTCATTCTAACAGTATCAAAATATCATACCCTTGCAATGTGTAGAGGAGGTATAAATGTAGCTAATGATATAGCAGAAAAACATGTGGAAGATGCTTGTCTCGTCAAGCTTCATTTCCTAGGTACTTGGGCTTCAAGAGAAGATGTGAAAATAAAAGGCGGCAGGCTGGGCTGCTCTCCATCAATGATCAGAGATGCGCTCACTGAGACGAGTCCACGAAGCCAGGACTTTATAACTAATATGACCAAATAACTGTCATCTTTCAAGTGATGCTACTTTTAAAAGACATACACATGCAAAGAAAAGTAAAATTAAAGATACTTTCCTTGGCAGGGCTGGGACAGGATCACTAGAAGAAAAGCAAGATCTGTGATTTCCTGTGATGTCTACTTCATTCCTGCTGCATGCAAAGGTCTGTGCACACATAGGGATCAGCTCAGGGCTTTGAGAGCACCTGACCTGACTTCTGTTCTTAACGTTGGAAGATGCTCAACTCCTCACACCCTCCTCACACTCATCTCACTGATCACATCTCACTAATCAAGAGGCCCTGTCTTTCACTTTTTGTTCCAGACACTTTAGAAGTTGAGCCATTCACGTTCTAAAGTCACACACAGCTGCAAGTCTGTATACTTGACAGAATGGGCAGTTGTTCAAAGGAGTCGGCAGTTTCTAGGAGTGTGAACAACCAACTCAAGAGAAAGACAAATGCAGGAAATGCATGGGCAAAATAATTCCAAAATCTCAATCCTCAGTGGTGGGTACTGATGAGGTGCAAACAAATCTGTACAGCAAGGCACCCTCAGTCCACACAGAAATTCCTTCTACGATTGGTTCCCCCAAAAAAAGCTCAATACAATTTATTTCCACACCATTCTTTGGCAGGTAAAGTGGCTCAGTCAGTGAAGGTGTTTGCCACCAGTCCTGATGTCCTGAGTTCAATCATTGGGACCCACATGATGGGGGTCTGAATGAACTCTCGCAAGCTGTTCAGATGTTCTCTGACCTACAGACACACACACACACACCATTCTTTGGTTTAATACTGAGCACAACAAACAAAGTTACAAGGAGAGTTCAGCCATCTTCAAGTACACAGGGAGGAAATGAATATTTGCAGGGGAGGAAACTCCAAATGTTAGCAAATGATCTGCCAATCACAGATCAAGTACACAGGGGACTAGGCTCCAGAGCATACCCTGAAGATGCAGAGACCTTTCCTTCCTCACAAGGCACTCAGCTTCCTTTAAGAAGAACTTTGGCCTAAGCAGCACAGTGTGGGCCTTGGAGAATAATAAGCAAGGGACTGGACTGAGCCCAGGATTATTAAAGACAAAGGGACAGAGTGACACTTCCTGAAAGCATGGGATCCCAGGACCGTTTACATGGATGGAAGAGGAGAAAGAGACGGGAACACAGTTGCGTTGGTCCTGTGCTGTTGGTCCTGTGCTGTTGGTCCTGTGCTGTTGGTCTGTCCCTACTGCTGAAGGAAAGAGACACATGTAAGTAAAATGAAGGTGGAGCTTTGGTTTCCAGTCAGTCCCACCGTGGTCTCTATGATGCTCTAAGTCAGCTTCTCAGTCTTAGCAGTGTGGCTGTCTGGACTGGATCATTACTAGAGACGGGGCCGCCGTGCACACCACAGCCCTAGTCTCTATTGACTAGGTGCCAGTAGCTCCTACCAGTTGTCAAAGCAAAAATATTTCTCTAGACATTCCCAGCTGTCCCCTGAGCATACCTGCTTAAATTAAATGCCAGAGTAGGTTCTAGAACATGTGCTGCTTGGGTGTGGCCTCTGAATATGGCTAGCAGACAAAACAAGACAGAGATATACAAAGATACATAAATGTGGCTGGATCTGTCTGGTATGGATCACAGTACACAGCCCAGGGAATACTGAGTGTTCCTCTGGATTCGCATTTCTGATAATGCCAGTGACACTTTGGATCGTAATACCATACCCATGATGCAGACGAAGAACCTAAGATCCAAAGAGAGTAAAAATGTTC